GCAAATGCGATAAAATCAATAGGCCAAGCAATTTCGAGCAAACACAAAACACATGCTGCATGTAAATGGACAGGGCTTGTGCATTGCATAACGGATTTTCATTTAACCAATTTCTAGATAGACGCACACATGTACGCACTTGGGCAGGTGCTCATTAGTCGGCGGGCAGTAGCTGCAGTCGAACAAATGAACATGGACCAATTATTAAATTATAATACAGCCCGCTCAAGCAGCAGCAGAGCGCTGGGGCTGCAACATCTCAAAGTTTGGCCAGGCGAATAATTAAGTTAGAGCACAGCGAGGGCAGGGCATGGGATAATATGCATAAACACAGACATGTCTTGCAGGCAATGGAAATTCAACAATCTAAAATCCAGGCTTACCCTTGGCCCAGCCCAATCGCGTTGTCAGCTCGCAAATGGATTTTTGGCTGGCTTCCGGTAAAAAATCAGCGGCATATCCGGTGTGGCAAGTGCACTAAATGTTGCCCCGTTAACAGTCCCTTGACACGCATGTCGACATGCGAAATAGCGAAACTGTTTCTATTTGAATACTCTACTCCCCATACCCCCCTCCCTCACCCCTCGATACGGCTTAAGCCTGTCACGCGCTCTAACTGACACTAACATATAATTGGTAAGCATATCCTCGGCAAATTCAATTTATATTACGTTAGATAGTGAATACCTTTCCGCTATTCTGCTTATCCATTACCTGTCCGAATTGTCAAGGTGTTGAATATGCTATTATATATTGTATAAGAAATTATTTAGCCAGAGTGAAAGAGTTCTGACAGCTGAGATGAAAGCTAGTTGAGAGCTTCATTATAATGTAAAATAAGAATTTATATATAAGAAATAAGAGATTTTGGGTTTATTAATATACTATAATTAGCACATTAGCTCATATTTGTGGCTATAGAGTTTTAAATATAAAGCTTTTTCTAATGAGAAAATATAAAAAGAAAATAAGCCTTTGTTTTCTTTCATTTGACAAAATTAAATATATTTTTATTTATTTATTTTATTATTTATTGTATTATTAAAATTTTAAGATTTTAAAAAGTTCATTTGAAATTTTTTTGTATTTATTTATACTCATTTATATTATATTATAATCCTCGTCTTATAAAAAAAACAACAATGGTTCATATAATTTACATATATATTTATTCATATTCGCTTGTCTGGAACATTGTTCAGATCTTGTCACAACTCTTAAATACACATATTCTCTGCGCGCACGCATGCGTTTGGGCAAATAAAACAATAGAAATTTTTGATATTTTTAACTATCGAGAAGTGTCTGAGATTCATCGATAATTTCGCACTATCAATTTGTATTGGACGAGGCATACACCTAGTCGCGACTCAATGCCAGCTGCACCAATGGCAAGACCCTAATGGACGACAAGTCTGCCAAAATAGCCTCGATGCTGTCCAGTGAGGACACCTGCATGATGCTCTCCTTGCGAAAGCTCAATATAATTATGGCGAACAGCGGCAGAATCTCCAAGCTATCAAAGCCAAGTATCTGCAAAGGGAGTACCATCGAATGAGCAACGCCGAATGGGCGAAGGCTTGGGCAAAGGCTTACCAAGTCCCACAGAACTAGCAATTGATCCGGCGGCAAGTGACCCGAGAAGCCACGCATAAGCCATTTGAACACAACTCGGAGTCTAGGAAGAGAAGAAAAGAGATTGAAGCTACAAATACAATTCCAACTGCATGTCCATACTTACGGCTGTATCTGCAGCTCACGAAAGTGCGACCACAGGTGAGGCTCGTAGGTCTGCAGCAGCTTCTCGAACAGCAGGCACAGGCTGACGATGCCCTGCGGATGCGTATTGATCGTGGTCAGTCGATGGCAGTACCGTATGTAGAAGGCACGGAATGTGTAGTAGAGGCTGACGGGCGAATCGAACAGATAGCAAAAGGGTGCGGCAAACATGCAGATGCCATGGAATGGCACCACGCCGGACGGCGGGCCCTCGTAGGTCTTGCCCTTCACCGGAAACGTTTCATACTCCACACAGTTGGCGATCTCCGTGTCACGCGAGAAGCACAGCAGCACCTGATATAGCACGTCCTCGAATACGAAATACTGGTCATCGTTCGACGCCGTCAGCTGTATGTCCTTGAAGACGAGCTTGTCCACAATGTGATCGGTGGTCCAAACGCTGTTGCGCAGCTTCTGCCAGTTCTCAATGTCCTGTTGGGATGAGAATGAGTTCGTTTTATAGTTAAGAATTGAGGAGGAGGCGGAGGAGGAGAGTCAAGGGAATCCTTTACCAACGTCTCTGCTATATTCGCATAAATTCATAAATATTCAATGCACATTTAAGTGCTTTAAACTTAATTAAGCCTAACTCAAATTTAATAATATACTTGCGAATCGTTATTAATGAATTGATTAAACTGAACTCACATAGTCGTGCAGCTTGCTGTCGAGCACAGCCGCCCAAAGGGCTCCACGATAGGGAGCCGGTGTGGCGCCCTTCTTCAGGTACTGCTGGCACATGGGAGCGAGCTTGCTGTCCAGGATGCGCTGGCACTGAACCGCCAGATCGTGCACGCCGTAAGGATCGTTGCGCAACAGATCCGCATAGTGCGTGCGCAGCTCAAACAGATTCTTCACGGGCAGCGCAATATGTGAGAACTCCCACTGAGGTATTTGACTAAAAATAAATAAGAATAAACACAAGAAGTTCTTAATTTTAAGCACTTACTCGCTGTTTTCGTTGGGTCTCGAGGGTCCCTTGAGCGATAGCAAGACCTCCAACAAATCCTTGGGCGCATACACCGGACGATAGTTGGCCAGATCTATGGAATGCAATCGCATATTAGATATCGCTTAACAGATATGTATTATATATATGGCCTACCCATGTTGTAGTTGCTCAGCTCATTCCATTTGGTAATGAAATCCTCACGATCGGCGCTAATGCGCGGCTGGCCATGCAGCGGCACCTTCAGCTCTCCACACATGGCGTTCAGACTCTTTCTCACACGGCGATCCCACAATACGCCAGCACGCTTCAGATAGCTCAATGGATCGCTCTGTGACGATTTCTGAGTAAAAAGAGAAGAAATTCTATAGGTCAAGTCCTCTCACTATCTCAGCTCTCTCCCTCTCAACACTCACCGGCGTCAGTCTGGCATCTGGTAATTCGATCTTCTTTAGGCGACTGCGCACCAAATTGTATATCATATTGCGTATTTCTGTCTCCAGGCCCGCCGCCCTGATCGCATCCTCCAGCGTGTTGCGCATATCGTTCTTATCGACGCTGGCACTGGCAGCCAGACGCTGCAATTCATTATAGATGGGCTCATAGCACTTGGTATTCTTGATGGCAGCAATCACTTTAGCTGTCATATGGTGTATACTACTGTCCTGCAGCTCCTCCATATCTGCTACTTGACGCTCTCGTCCGCTTTGACTCTATGTGTGAATGTGCGCTCGCTGCCTTCCTATAAAGCCGAAAACATTGGCGCATCGAACAGTCGCTAGATTTCTATCGATCAAACTTCCGTCGCCTGTTTTGATTTCCATTTAAGTGTGTATGTATGTGTACTAATACACGAATACACATACCTCAACTTGTAGCCGAAGCAAAAACTTTCAAATGCTTCCTAGTTACGGAATGCAACCACTTGTTTGGCAGCTTTGCTTCCTCGCAACGGACACGCCCCGTAGCCTGACGGCCCTCTCCCATCGCAGAGCCATTGACAACGGCAATTGCCAACGTTTAATTTAACTGCTCAAAAACTCGCATTTGCGCTGACAGTTCAATTATTAATCAACTATTTTTGACAGCGAGCTTCACAAATTAAGAAACATTTTTTACATTTATTATTCAGAGTGAAATTAATCATTATATTTTATATCAATTTAAAAAGTTTTGTTGGAACTCAATTTGTCTTTTACAAATATTTTAATTTTGATAAAAAAAAATTAATAAAAAATAAAAATTAAAAAAATATATATTTAATTTCATTTAAGAAACAATGGAAATTCTTACGAATATATAATTTGATAAACAAAAATTTTTTAAATGGCCAATTGCAGGCAGTAATATTCAGTAAAAAGTCCTTTGGAACCCAATTTGTATTTTACAAATATTTTAATTTTGATAAAAAAAAATTCTTTAAATAAAAAATAAAAATTAAAAAAAAAAAATATTTCATCTCATATAAGAAACAATGGAAATTCTTAAGAATATATAATTTGATAAACCAAATTTTATGGCCAATTGCATGCTAAATATTATATATTATATCTAGGGTCAAAACAATCAACTTATGCTCAATAAATAAATAAATAAAATCTTTTAACAATTAACAAAACTTTATTGATTCAATTCAAGTTTTAGGCAATGCATTCTTTGGTCATCCTTAAGCACAGGAGCGTGCAACAATCCTCGGCATAACGACAAAAAGCTCCCCCTCGTTTACAGCGTTGTTTCATGTTGGCGGATCGAAAAGTCTGTAAGATCTGTAAGAAACAAATTAAATTATAAATATTTATGCAATATGAACTAATTCTATCTTTGTCACATTTTTCATGGGTGGTACTACGATGTTTTTGAATGTGTTATATCTCCAGACAAAATGATCAAGTTGGGATTTGTTTCTTTTCTCACTCAGAGCGCAGCACAGCCCGAAGACAACTACGATAATAATTATTGAAACTTTCATTTTGAGCTGTAATTTGTCACTGAATAGAAAGTTTGCTCTGTTGCGCTTATATAGGTGGAGGTGGCTAGACACATCTTGGAAAACATATGTGAGAAAATTAACGACTCTCATTGAACGACTTTTTATGGGGCATTTAGTTAATGTCAATGTGAAAATGCTTTTTAAAGACCAAACTACTTTTCATTTAGTAAATAAAACAGATTTTGCTGAGGAGCAATTGAAGTAAATAATTTTTTTTTTTACCACCACCAGCTCTATAAGAGGCGCAAAAAATGTCGATCTCTAGTTAGTATAGGCAACAGTTTCGATGGGCACACAATGAAATCTCTCCAGATTATTCTATTTGCTGTGCTGGGTCTGATGCTGTTTGCAGAGGCAAGGCGCTTCAAGTCGTCAACACACAAAATGCTGCCATGGAAACCAATAACAACACCCAAACCTGTAGTGATGAAACTTTCCAAGAGCTTAACCAGAGTAAAACAGAATTTTGTTATTTTCTTACCCAACACCATCTCTCCTACTTATATATTCACAGGCTCAACGCTTAGAGCTGAGCGATCATTGTAAAGCCAACGGCATGGAATGCCGGCTCGCCGAGGAATGTTGCAACTTAAAGTGCGCGATTGCGACTAAGCGGTGTATAGAGCTGATAAACCCCCAAGATGTACTGGCTCAGAACATATATGGTATATGAGCATTGTGCTTGATATACTTAAATAGCCTTTGATATAGCAATTTAAGGAGAAGAGAAAAAAATAGAAAATATAAAATAAAATAATTTGCTATCTTACGTTATAGCTATAGTTAATTCGATGATACGGAGCAGCAAATGATTCAAGTGATCTTCTGATGTGAGCTGATAGTGCCTTGAATGAAAGCTAAGAATATTTATTCTGAAGAGTTTTCTATTC